AGAGGTGCCTACAGGTTGGCAGTCAAAGGTTTCTAACGGTCGCATCTCTGGACATGGATGGGGGAGCCAATGCAAATTGGAGCTGTCAATAAGTCCATTTCAGAGGAGGAAATGGGGAAAAGCAAAGAGATCTGTGCTTCTGTTTTTACTTGGAGTTTCAGAGCATATTGTCAGGACCTACATAGTGAGAAAACCAACAGTGGGAACTAGAGCATCTGAACAACCCGCCAGCAAGTACCTACTCTCATCCACAGGTGCTAACCAGGAGAACACCACTAGCCTCCATCATGAGAGCTCACTGGAGGGAACCAGCCAGCAAATAAAAGAGAGCTCAAGATGAAGGGGGTAAGAAGAATTTTTTCTTACTCCTATCACTATAATCTTAGAATTGAGGTATAAGGTAGAAATAAAAGCTTCCATCTCATCACAAACTTTATAGATGTAGAGGTGGTGCATAAATTGCAGCAAAACTACCAAGATTTGTAGTAGAAGAGACTATAGATGGCTAGACTTTGAAGGTGAGTCCTATTTTGCGATTCACTGCTCTAGTGCAGCTGGCAATTGACATGGAATTCTTGGCCTTGTATGTGACAGCTTCCTCGCAAGTACCTGTGGTGCTAGTTCTGTTCCTGATTGCAGCTCCATAAACCATGAGTGGATTGTGCGACTGGAGCAATCTCATTTCTCTCTCCATTGAGCGCAAACTTCCATAGCTCTCCTTGGTGCTTATAATGAGCATCCAGCCAGAGTATTTATTTTATTTATTTATTTATAATTTAATTTGTATCCCGCCCTTCTCCTCACCGGACTCAGGGCATACCTACTAAGAATTCTGATTTTGCGGATGTCTTTGGAGAGCAGGAGGAGGCCACCGCACTTCCACCTCATAGGGACTGTGATTGCACAATTGACCTGAAACCTGGAGCAAAAATTCCAGGCAAGAGACATCATTCCATGTATATCAAAGAGCTTAGTATTTTAAAGGAATACTTTGATGGTCTGCTAAATCTCTCTTTAAGATTTCCCCCTAAGTCCCCAGCCTCTGTTCCAATCTTTTTCATTGCAAAGAAATGAAAAAGTGCACACCTAGGATCTTAATAAGAACATGATCTGGGATCATTATCCATTTCCTGTAATAGCAGACCTGTCAGACAAGCTGCAGAACATCTGCATCTTTAGATCTGAAGAATGTTTACAATCTCAGTCAGGTAAAAGAAGGACTTGAGTATCTGATTGCCTTCAATATAAGATACAAAAGTTTGAATATATTGTGATGTTATTTGGACTAGCAAATTATGGAGCATTATTGTCGAGATTAATGAATCATGTTTGGAATACTTCCTTTTTTAAAAAAAACATCAATATTTTAAATATCAAAAGAAAAGCTATGGTCTCTAGCACTGTCTTAATTTTCAACAGGACCTCCTGTCTTAATTTTCAACAGGCCCTCCCTGTAGTCTAGTGTTTAGTTCTATGACAGTCTGCCTAGATAAATGAAATATTAATAAAGAAAGGCTCAACTTGCTTTTGGGTAAGTGCATCTTTTGTGACTAATCAAAGAAGCTATTTTGTAAAGGCATTTAGAACAATTTTGTAAGCGCACCTAAATTAATTTTTCAGAATTCTTGATATGCCTATGGCATCTAGGCCGTAATTAGATAAACCTGTCAGGTTTCACAATATGGGATAGGCAGTAAAATAAGATCTGTTACTTTATAGCTTAGATCAACATCTTGGCTTGGGAGAAGACACATAGACACATCCCTCTCTCTCACTCTCTTTTAAACATGACATCAAGATTAAGTGGTGGCTGGCAGATTCCGAGTTGGTAAAACTGATTTACATATATCAAGGATTGATGGTGAAGATGATATTTGGTTAGATCTGGTTAGGAGCTATACTTTATTGTTATAGGGGTATAATAACAGATTTTTGAAAGACTCCCAGAATATCCCTCTGTCTCCCTTTACACAAAACAGAATCAAACTGAGTTCACCTTGAGTTTGTTTCACACCTCATCTTTCCCATGACTGCGTTGACATTTATACTTAGTAGTTCTTGGATTTCTTTTTCATGGTTATTGCTGAACTCTTATATGTGTGATGGGTGGATAGGAAGGGGATTATATGGCTTGTTGATTGAATGCTTTGCAGAAGCTTGTACACCCTTAATCATACTTGTGGTTGACTTTTAGCAAGCCACGATGAGAATGGTGTCTAATTATTCTTGATCTTTCAGCAGTTTTTAATACTGTTGATCTAATTGTTTAGGAGTTTTGGGGTGTGGTGTGCTGCCTTCCTTTGAGGCGGGTTCTAATGGGTGTTGGGAGGGGGAACAAATTGGGCCATGAGCCATTTTTTACCCATTCCTATGTAATCCACATGAAGCTACGAGATCTTCTGTTGACAAGGGATTAAGTGCTATCAGTATTTGTGTGTTCGTTTATTTATTTTTATTCTCCCTTTATTATTTTTACAAATAACTCGAGGCAGAGAACATATCCATATTCCTCCTCCTATTTTTCCCACAACAATAGTATGCTGATGAGACTCAATTATATAACTCTACTCTAGATCATTTAGTGTCTGGTAGCTCACTGGATGAGATGGAACAGGCTTGGACTCAACCTTTTGTAGAGAGTAAGAAATAGGATTTAGTGATCTCCCCCGCCCACTCCCCCACCCTCATTTCTGGAGACAGTCTTTTGTTAACTCCATGTGTAGTACCATTCTCTTAGACCGAGTTGGCCAGGGCCAAGGGGGCCTTTGTCTAAATCCATGTTGTGCATAAATTGTGATTATTCTTAGATTGAGAGATTCTGCTAATGGTCACTCATGCCTGAATCATTTTAGTCACTTCCCAGTTGGACTGTTGCAATGATCTCTACACAGGTACCATTTTTAAAGCATTTGGAAGCTGCAGCGTATCCAAAATATGGTGGTGTGGCCCATTTTGGGTGCACCATGTTATGCTCATGTAACACCACTGCTGTGTGGGCTGCTTTAACTTTCAATAGGTTTTTAGGTGCAATTCAGCTTGCTAGTTACCACTTTTAAAGCATAGGGCCAGGATACTTGGTGGACTGCTTGTTTCTCCCTGTTCCACCTGATTTGAAAAGATGGCCATGTGCCAGATCCCTTGTGTGAAACAGTGTTATCTTATGAGACCTAAGAGGTATGCCTTTTCTGTCACAGTGCCTGTCTTGTGGAACAGTCCTCAGTCCCACCCCTGAGGTTCGGAAGGCCTCAACCTTATTGGCCTTTCAGATGTCCTTAAAAAGGGAGTCATGATGATAGTGTTTTGCTCTGTGATGATTGAAGAACCAATTCTTTTATCAGGAGTCTTTTATTGTTATTGTTGCTGCTTTTTAATGTGTTTGTTTTTATTACTTGTTAGCCACTTAGAATGATTTAATTAAGATTGGTAGCCATGTACATTTGTAAAATAAATGCATCTTGGCTAGGTTAGAATACTTATTCCAGACAAAGTTATGATTGCCCCCTCATTGCCAGTACAAAGGTATACTTTTAGGAATTTAAACAGGTTTCTTCTTCTTACCTTCATGAATTGTCTGATCCTTGGTGTAAATACTTGGTGGTCTGTGCAGTTCCTGCATGCTTGCGTAATGCCCATCTCTGGCCTGGAAACTTGTTTCCCACCTTGCCAACCTTAGTCTTTACAAAGTCTGTGACAAAATTTCCCTTATAATTCAGGAATAGTAACACGCAGGTAGTCCTCTTTAATGGCCACAACTGTTACCTGCAATCTGTCATTAATCAAAGCAATTGCTAACTGACACCATGACTGCGATTCTGATCGTGCTTCAGCTTTCCTTTGCTTTACAGGCCTGCAAAGGTCATAAATGTGAAGATTGATCGTAAAATTTACTTTTTTATCACCATCATAACTGTACATAGTCGTTAAACCAGGGTCACCTTTACTATACTGTTATTTGTGACACCTAATACAATTATACTTCATGACTGTAAAGAATAAAAATTATGATACTATTAGTAAAATAATAGAGAAGCTGTTTTTACCTTTAAATCTAAAAACACCCTGTGTTGCTTAAAGCACCCTTTGTCAATAGCTTGTTAGATGTGTGCTATTTATTTAACAACTGGATACTTAGCTTGCTTTTATAACTTGTGGCTATAATAGGATTACCTCAAAGCATTTTTGTACTTTTGTGATGACATGTTTCAATTATATTAGAGTGTGAATGCTTTTACAACAACATCAATTAACAATGGTTGAGGCTGCCAGAAGAGCCAGAACTTTGTATCTTCCTTGACACCTGAAGTGGTAAAAGAGGAAGTAAAGAAGAAGGAGAAGTGAATGCTTTTTTCATATCCCTATTCTCTTTTTTTGTTCTTTTTTTTCCTAGGAATTTCATTAAGATGCTGCTATCAATAGGAATGTTAATGTTGTCTGCCACTCAGATTTATACTATTCTCACAGTTCAGCTGTTTGCTTTTTTAAACCTATTGCCAGTAGAAGCTGACATCTTAGCGGTAAGTTTTATAATTATTTTATAGCATAAAATATTCTTCAAAAATGGTACTCAACCCTTTAAACCTAGTTCCATGTTAGATACACTCAAATATTTCACTAGATCCTATGGCTACATTTTCCCTAGCACATATCCTAACTGACATTTCCTACTGATCTTTACTATCTCAGCTATCTATAGCATCCCCTACCTCATTATATTGCTTCCCATTAAGCAATAATCCTTTATATTGCTGTTCTCTCCCTTGTCTTTCCCACCTTCTTGGCTTTCCTTTTATGAACCTTCTTGCCTTCATAAAAAAATAAAACTTCTTTTGAATCTGATGCGGCTTCACTCATTAGCAGAATGGCTCTATCCCATTTAGAATTTAGCCCTAATGCCTTATTCAAAGGTCATTGTGGCCCTCAGTTCAATTTAGCTTTTCCAAAGCCTTATTCCACAGATGTACAAACTGTCAATGGCCAAATATAGTTTTAGCAAAATGAGTTGAGAGCCTCTTTGCTACTAGAGCAAAGTGGAAACTATGCTTGCTTACAGCAGGTGAATGTATTCACAGAAAAGCATACACACAAATTTTTGTTCAACCACTTTTTTTATAAATTGTCTTCCATCTTCTCCCAATTTAAGTCTTAAAAACACTAAGTCAGCGGTTCTCAACCTATGGGTCGCGACCCCATTTGGGGTCGATCGACCATTTCACGGGGGTCGCCAAGCAAGGCTGTCTGCCATTTTTTTTGTCTGCCATTTTCCCCCCTTTTCCGGCGGGTGCCTTACCTCCCTTGGGCTGGGCCAGCTGGTGGTCGGCCTGCTCTGTCTCTGCCGCTTGCCAGCTATGCCTCGGCCGGCGCAGGGGGTGGAACCACGCATGCGCGGCGCTCCCGGGCAGGGAAAGTTCTCGACTTACGACCGGTTGGGTAGTCCTTGACTTACGACCGGTTTAGTCCTCGACTTACGACCGGTTTAGTCCTCGACTTACGACCGGTTGGAGGTCACGGCATTAAAAAGGTTGAGAACCACTGCACTAAGTTAATTGTAACTTATGAGCAACGTGATATATGAGTAATGAGTTGGGGAGCCACACACAGGGAGCAATCTCTGGGTCAAAGTGTGTGCCCATATTTTATCTAGTAGCCTCTGCAGAAGTCTTTTTCTCCAATACCATTTATCCCAGAAGAATCTCTATTGCTCTTTTCTGTGATTTGCTTTTTCAATGCCTGCTATGTAAGCCATGTCTTAGTACAGAATATTTCTACTTAATAAAAGAATTTCAGTATTTCTCAACAAAAATTAGTGCTTAGATTTCTCTCCATGTTTATTCTCTGCTGATAACAGGTTTTCAATACTGTAAATGCACTGTAAGTAATAATAATTTTAACTTGTTCTAGTTTATGTTTAAGTTAGTTTAATATTGAAAAAGTAATATATAAAATTTAAGTAAGTTTTATATAATTGTTAATTCCCTTTTTTGAGTGCAGTAGACAGAATAGAAGCAAAAAGCTGATTGAATTTCTAAATGTTGAGTTTTTCTGCCTTCCTGGCACTTTCTGACTCTGATTTTCCATAAAAAGAAACTAGTTTACACTCTCTATATTTATTCATGGATTTGGTTTAAACATAAGTCTTAATAAATGAAAACAAAATATATTTTATATTTAAGCTATTTCAAAATTTCAAAATTAGAAATGTCTTGCTCTTTGCTTTGTAACCATCTTTTTTGCAAAGATTGTTGTTTAACTCAAGAGTATGCTATTTGTATTCTACCATACAATTATATAATAATATTTTATATGGCTAATTTTGCAGTTTAATACATGATATATGGTTTTGTGTTTCTTGTGTATTATAGTTTAATTTTGAAAATGCAACACAGACATTTGATGACTTACCAGCAAGATTTGGTTACAGGTTACCTACTGAAGGTTTGAAGGTAAGAAATAATTTGAAACAGATTATGGAATATTTTTTTAAAAAAATCCTCATTCATTTATGACATTTTATGACTCTTTATCATAAATTTAAATAGGTTGTGATTTATTGGCCAGTGTTAACTGCAACAGATTTGCTATAGCTATGCTTTGAAAAACTATAAATATAAGCACATAAATTTATGACATTTGATTCATTCAATTACATAGCATGTATGGGTATAGATATATTAATTACAATTTGATCCTAGACGTTTGCTCTAAAAATAGTGTAACAAAAACCCCTTTCGAATTTCCCCAAGATTTTATTTTAAACTGGAAACTAGAGCACAATTCCATTGAAACAGATTGTTTTTATTATGATACAAGTAGTCCTCGACTTACAACCACAATGGAGCCCAAAATTTCTGTTGCTAAGTGACTTTTGCCCCATTTTATGACCTTTCTTGCCACAGTTGTTAAGTGAATCACTGAAGTTGTTAAGTTAGTAACATGGTTGTTAAAGTTAATCTGGCTTCCCCATTGACTTTGCTTATTAGAAGGCCATAAAAGGTGATCACATGACCACAAAACACGGCAACCATCATAAATACATGCCAGTTGCCAAGCGTTTGAATTTTGATCACATTAGAAAAATCTAATGTCTTTTACTTTCTAAAATTGCAGCCAAAATTAAAATCATAAAATTGAAATGGCTAGTGTACGGTGTTGAGTCTTTACCCTGTGCTCAGTGTGTAAATTTAGTTTTGAAATATTCTTCAGTCCCAGTTACTTCTTGGAACTTTATTCACTGAGACTGGAACACTGCAGTGACAGTGTTACCCTGATGGTAATTTACCGACTATACAAATTGTCATCTGCTGCTCAAAGAGAAATTTGGGGGGGATTCTTGTTTAAACAAAACATTAAGTTCTTGCCATTTGAAATACTAATTGAGTGCTTTGAGGTAATGTAACCTAATCCAGCTGTAACTGAATGCATCATCTCTTAATCTTAGATCTCTGTATTAATGAACATCTTCAGCATATTTATGTTAAATGTTGATTCTCTGACTGGATTGTTGCTCTGAGTGCAGTTCATCGTAGAAAAATGGAAAATAATAAGCCCATGTATATTGTATAATTTTCTCTAGTGTCCCGTAATCCAGAGTTCTCCAACCTTTCCGGGTTGGTAGCCTGGAGCACGGGGAAGGGGGAAAGAAGGGATGGTTTTCTGGGGGGGGGGGAATGTATGTGCGCGTGTGTGCGCACATGAACACCCATTGCGGTGACACCAGTGCTTGCACGTGGACCTGCAAATACCTACAACACTTGCAGAGTGGGGTCACAAACGCCCATGATGACAGTCGAACGAGTAGGGCCTTGAATGCTTGTGATGATACTCACGCAAGTGGGGTTGCAAACACCCATGATGACACTTACCACTCATGTAGCCAATATCCCACGGCCCAGAGGTTGGGGACCCCTGCCTTATTCTCCATCACCTTGTCTTTCTGAGTAAAAACTCTCACTGTTCCGGCTATTGACAATACCTTGATAACACGATGCCTGTTACCATCTTTTACATAAGTACTTTTTAAATCAGAAACTAGGTTCTGAATGTAGGTCTGTTGATTAGGATAATTCTCAGCTTCCGTGCAGTGTCTTCAAGGCTATACTGAGCATTGGGTCAGTAATTATTCTTGTATTCCTATCAAATATCATATTCTCAACTATGGGAACAAATTATGCATCTTATTTTCTGTTGCTCTCATTTTTCTCTTGGTTTGAATAGAACAGTTATTATACATTATACATTATTATACATTATTATAACAATATTATTATTATGTACTACTAACTTACTTTGATAACAGTTACAAAGGCAATATTTCTTAGAATAAACAGCTTGAGAATTCTGTCATCTAAATTGCCGATGTACAGTCAAAACATTATACTTGTTTTCAGAAGCATTTGTTTCTTTATAGGCCTTAATATGCAATAGTAGCTAGTGCCAAGATAAAAAAGAATTGCAGTATGTTGTACCTATATTTCTAGAGTGATTTATTCTGAGAATGCTTTGGTTTATTTCGATATTGACTGAAATCTTTGTCACCTGTCTTCAAAAGCAACTACAAGAAAATTGGCAAATTAGCATCTCAAGATAAATAATGTATTAGTTGTCAGATCGTATTTCTGGAAATGCTGTAAAATGCATCAGAATTTTTTTTAGCATGTACCAAAGAGATCTTGAATTATTGTCTACTGCTCTAATAGTTTTTAAAAGAAATTAATATATAGGCCCCTCATGGAACATGAGAAAAGTTAATGGAGAAAATCTGTGTGGTCAGTAGGAATAAAAAACCACTTGATGGCACATATCAATCAGTCAATCATGGAACAGTGCCTTGTAGCAATGAAAGACTTGCACATCTCAGTGACATTCAGCTATACCAGCTGAATGTCAGTAGGAGTGTCTACTTTCAAAAGGGTAACTCATAGAAAATGGAACAGATAGAATACAGTCCATTTGAAAAGGAATGGGAACCCACTCCAGATTTCTACCAAAAAAGCCACATAGATTTTCAAAGCCAGGGCAATGTCAATATAGTACTTGAAGGCGAGCCCCATATGTTAAGAAGGTATAGAATGAACATTCAGTGGGAAAGTATCCCACTACAAAGAACAAAGGAAAAATAGGAATAGCTTTTATGTTGGAGATGTGCCTGGATTCAAACTGAAAGAACATCCAGCTGCTGATGTCAAAACCATAAATCAAGTGAATATCAGACAGAAGTATTGGGATTCACCACGTTGACATTCTAGGAATCAGCAAAACATCCTTAAGTGATACTGTATTAATTATAGAAGAATGGAATGCTGAAATTGGAATCAAACAGCATCTGCACTAACAGGAAAAACAGTGTTTTGACATTTTAGCAGATTATAATAGGCAAATTACACTAGAAGCCGTCAAGATGAGTACATTTATCACAGGATGGACAATACTGGAATCAAATTAAGTATGTAGTGTGCAAGCAAGGATGGAGGAGCTTTCTTCAGATATCAAAAATGAGGCCTAGGCTGATTGTGGTTCACATCATGAAATAATTCTTATAAGATTACAAACAAAACTAAAAAAACAGGCAACAAGATAATCTTATCAATATTCTGCATAGTAACGCAATGGAGGTAAAGAATAGATTTAGATTTGATAAACGGATTGCTTGAAGATCTATGTTCCGAAATTAATGATAAAATAAAAATACCTTGAGTGGAAAAAAGCAAAAAGAAGATGAAATGTCTGTTTGGCCAGTATATTGGAAAGAGTGGCAAAAAGTAGAAGGTGATAGTGAAAATTTGCCAAACTTAAAACACTAAGTTCCAGAGAAGAGCAAGGGGTAAGGAAGTACATTTAAATAAACAGTGGAAAGAAATCGAGGATAATAGATCTGGAAGTGCAAATTATTTAAGAGGTTTACATAAATCGGCAATTTTCATGAAAAGAACAAACACTGTGAAAGGCAAAGAAGACAAAAAGATATTGAAGAAAAAAGATATAAAGAAGTGATAGTAGAAATATATGGGAAAAAATGTACGAGAGGATCCCCATTGGTGAGATATACTCTCTCTTTGTGTGTGTGTGTGTGTGTGTGTGTGTTTGTGTGTGTGTAGTTTGATTTCTGAACTAGAGTCAGGGATCTGGAAACTAAAGTGAAATGGACTGTAGGAAATATTTCTAGCAATGAGTTTTGAGATTAGATGAAATATCAGTTAACTATTTAAAGGTTATTTTATTTTCTTATTTTATTGATTAAATGCATATGCCACCTATTTCCTGGCTCGAAGCAACTTTAAGATGATATGCTTAAAATGCTAGGCTTGCTGCTTGTAAAGTGATATGAAAAAAATCTTTTATTCCAATATTAAAAAGAGCAGTGTTAAAGAATGCTCAAAGCACAAATTGCATTTATCTCACATGGCAGTAAGAAAATGCTCAATTTTTTTTCTATCCAGGCTTTAGCATGCACAGAAAGAGCCACAAGGTGTATAAGTTCGATTCAGAAGAAGCAGAAGCATCTGATATTATATTGCAAACATCTGATGGATAATGGAAAAGGCAAGGGAGTTTCAAACATAAATTATTTTTTTTGCTTTATTAATTATATAACTGTTTTTAATTCTACAAGCCACAACAAAAAACCTTAAAAACACTGGATTACCTCATCTACCTGTTGAATAATTTATGCGATCACCAGGAAATAACTGTTAGAAGGAATATGGAGCCAACTAGATTCGAAAAGGAGTAGGCCAAGATTGTATGCTGTGGTTTCTTAAAAAAATAATTTTTATGCAGAATGCCTGAGAAGAAAAAACAGAAACTGGAATTAAGTTTGCTGGGAGAAACATCAGCAACCTCAGATATGCTAATGATGCCATTTTGATGGCTGAAAGAAAAGTGGAAGTAACTACAATAAGTTACTCTTATTGAAAGTAAAAGAATAGAAAAGCCAATCTGCTGGTCAATATTTCTTTTAAAAAAAGATTCTGTCAACAAGCAATGACAGCCCAATGTGAACAGACAATAAGGAAACGGAGGTAGTAACAGACTTCATTTTCCTAGGCTCAAAGATTCACAGTGGTATTTATAAAATAAAGTGACATCTGCTATGGCAACATTCTAGACAAAATGCTAAAATGCAAAAATAACACACCAAGAGCAAAAATATGTTTTGTCAAGACTATGGTTTTTCTAGGTGAAAAATGTACTTTGAAAGCTTGTTTATCAGAAAGGTTGAACAATAAAAAAGTGATGCCTTTGAATTGTGGTGCTGGGGAAAATTGAGAATACTTTGGATTGTAAGAACAAATAATTCAGTACTCTATAAAACTACAGAGCTCACCAGAAGATGAAGGTAAACATTAAATATTTTGGACCTATACCATGAAGACAAGAGTAATTGGAGAAGACCCAATACTTGTTGAATCAGAAACAATTAGTAAAAGGGTTGACAGAAAACAAGA